TATAGTCGATCTTAGGCTAATTCACAGGGAGTCTCCAACCACTTGTAAGTAAAAGTAAGAAGGATTTCATCCAAACATTGTTGCAGAATTCAGGACTCGAAGTGGACGGTAACAGAATGCACTTCTGTCACTGTAGTGCATAACCCCGCCCCCTTACACTTGAACATAACATTACCCACCCTACAGATTCATAATAAGCGAATAATTCTAGGAATAAAGAGTTATACTCCTCTACTTCTTTTGTGCACATTCAGTGGATAAGCTGTCACGAAGTAATATGTGAGTGGAACATCATCAACCAAGTAAACTACATTCTCCAGTGTGGATCACATCAACAACCAGAAGCTTAACTGATTAGTATCAGATTTCAGTTTGACTACACAATTCATCTGACCTAGTACTGTTTCACCTAGAACTGTTCGTCAAGGAAAGAAGTTCGAAATGCTTCATTTTTTGTGTGAGAAATTTATAACCTCATAGAAGAATTCGCTTTCTTTACTAAACAATTTACAAAGGCATAAGGTAGCATGGATGAGAAGTTATGAAGAGAATACTCTTTGCTAAACTATGTTTTTCTAACTTATATTACAAGTACTTTGCATGCTCTAACAATTTGTTTTCTTTCAGTATTGCTTAGCATATGGCTTCAACTGGTGAGAAGCACATCACTAAGACAGTTATGGTCAAAACCCGTTATCCTTTTACATGGTTTACTTTATCAGGCGCGGAACTACTCAAGGTTTATATTTACTTCAGTTACAAAATCCTGCCGCATAATTTAGTTACTTTTCTCTTGGTAGTACAATCTGATAGGAGCTAAGCACCAAGCAAACATATCCAGCTTTGTGCTCAGTTATTTCAGTATCAGAGAGTATTTTGATTGGATCGAAAATAATAGAGATGATTTGCTTTATGTTTTGTGGGTCCCAAACTACTTGGAAAACCCTACACTCGATACACTCTTATGCGTTACTAGATGTTCTTATTATCTAAAAGTGCTAGTTTGCAAGGATTTGATTGATTTCACAGTTGATTACGAGCTAAAATCAGTTGGAGAACTATTAGAAAACCAGGGAGTGCTGGAGAGAGCTGTTCCATTCTAGTTTGCGACTTAACAGTACTAAACAACCGGCATTAGAACTTAGGACCTTTCAGGTTATAAGGGCAGCTCACATATCATTCATGAAATCAATCAAATCCCTGCACTTGAAAGTTAACTTGATTGTTTACTAGCAACTGGCTCTATACAGGAAGTTACCTGGAGTTCCAGTGAGAAGTCATGACCTGATCACGTCAGGTGAGAAAACAGTTACTCACCAATAAAATCGGCTGTTGGTTGAGCTATATATCTCAAACTAACAGAGGTTGGAGTTCATGGGACATTGGATCTGGTCCTAGTGGCCAAATGGTCTACAAATTCGCATGGTAACCTAGAGGTCCTTGGTTCGAAACCCGATTGTTGGGTATTGCTGAAGAATCCCAAACTAGAATGGAACAGCAGCCCAGTGTTCTTATTATCTCTGAAAGGCTTACACCCAAAGTGATAACATGGTAACCAATTTCTACAATCAATTTTGTTCAGAGAAGCGTTTCCTCTTTCTATAACATCCATCTAAAATTTTATTAAAATAACCTTTTTGGAGACGTCGCTTAATATTTTTGTAGGCTGACCACTTCTTCCGAGAGCACTGAGATCATGTACTATTTGGGAAAAAATTGCAGTGCAAATGTTCCGCACTAATGTACACCAGAATACAGCCAAAATATAAATTAGATAAACTGCTAGATCGCGTTTGGATGCCTAAAGTTATTTAGCTTCATTTTAGCGAGTATGCATCTGAACAGACTGAACTGCTATTCTCGAGCTTCTGCCATGCTGGTCATCTCATATACTCGCAGGGTGACTAGCGCGGTAATTTTTTTACCTAGCTTCATCATGAAATAACCTCAACTGTTCATCGCTCTTGGGAGCAATCTTTTAGTCTTCTATTATCAACATTTACAGGTTGCATTGGTTACTGATTAAGGTTTTTTACTAATGTACATCAGCTTAGTGAATATAAGTCAAGTATTAGGAAATAACAGCACATCCAGTTTCCATAATACCATTATTGTAACTGTCCGATAGCAGATTCGACAACTAAACAACACCAGCATTCTGTAAGAATCTAAGAGACAATTACTAGGACGTTAATCAATTTTAACTCATTTTTGACCATTAGAAAGGTTTGAATCACGAAGACTGAGTGAAATAATAAGAAACTTGTTTGCAGTTATTACTTAGTTACAGTGTGCGTAAGATACTGATGTAGTACCTCCAACTGCTTTCAGGGTTGAGGTGATTAGTAGTCTGAAACGAAAAAAGGCAATAGGCTTAGAAAGGTTCTCGTCACCCTAATTAACAAAGCCAGTCTGGAATTCATAATTACTTAGACATGAATATAAAGATCACTAATAACAACACCAGCGTAAAACAAAATATACAGAAAAGAATGACTTTACACACTGAGCATATCACCCTCCCTTATATTCACGAGAACAATATTACAAGGGAGAAAATGTCACACGGTGATCAAAATACGTGGTAACCACAAAGAAATATTGGTAAAATTATTGCTTCTAGACTGCATTTTTAAAAATGTAAATCACGTCTCAAACGATTTTACCGATAGCTTTCAAATAGTTATGAAAACAAGCAAACTATAACTTAATGCGGGTATCCTTTAACTACAAGTAAAGCGTTACACATTGACCATCCTCTTTGACAGCCGAATGATGACTAGTTTAAAATGACAAATATAAAACATATTAAAGTCACTAAAAACTGATTAGATCATGACCTTACCTGCTTAGCAACAAATTTGTACATCCGAATGGCAGAATCACTTACTGGCCACGAGTAGTTCTACAGATACAGTTGTGGGATATGGCCATCCCAAACAAACCATTCCTTATAGGAATGGTGATAAGCCTCTGGACCAGAAAAGTAGCACATCCAGAATTTTACAGACAGACAAGTGTCACAGTGGTGTAAAGTGAATCAGATTGTGATACTGTTTGAACATTAACAGAATAAATTGTCCGACTATGTTCTAAAAGAGGTCGCAAGCTTGTATGAATCAATAATATAGCTATTAAAGTGCGGTATGAATTAATCTTTTTGATTGGACACTAGTTAGTCACTAAATGTAATGTGTCTAGTCCTATCTTTTGGTGTAGAGTAAATTCTGTCAGTCAAGTTTGCAATGTGGCCACCATGCTAGGTGGCTCGCCATCACGGTACACTCTAAGGTGTTGGTAGTAGATCGTTGGACGCAATCGACAGGAAGCCTTGGACCTAGGTTTCGTGCCACTCGGCACTCATCAGTAAGGTATGTCTGCAACCTTGAAAGAACTCATGTCCCTCCTGAGATTCGAACCCGCGTCACTTAGTGCTGCAGTCAGAGACGTCACCACTGAGGTATCCGCGCTCGCGATTGACCTCCTGTAGGACTGTATTGGATATTTTGATTGAACACTAGCCACAACCCACTGCATTCGACGATAATTCCTTGAATTCATTATGAGCATTCACTTCTAAGAAAGGATCACCATTCAAGTACATGGAGCATCATTTAATGAAAAAAACTCAGCTGACGTAGACTGGCAGTATGATTATCTTGAATGTAAAGTAACATGTTAACTACTAATAAAGAGAAGTTTGGAACACAGTGAGTATGGAGTGTAAACGAAATTTAGGTATTTTCATCTTACTACCCGTTTCACCAGCGTCTACTCCTGAAAGAACTGTTATTCGCGTCTCTTAATTTGAATTGTGAATTTCAGGGCAAGAGACAAACTGCAGGATGTCAAGAAACATACAATAAGGTCTACCTACACTTGTAAATCCTTAAAAAGCATTACTCAGAATAAACATTACATAAAATATAATACTGAATGCTGTGACACCAAAATTCCAAGTAGTGACTCAAAAGAAGTTACATTTGTTTTGCAATTTTTTAGTGCGGCAACTAGTTCCATCTGAGATTTCTTTTCATAGCAGATTTCGAGAAGAATCAACTAATATGTAGCCAACAATGTTCACTAATCTGCTGAACCCCGACAAAAAACCTCAATATTCCACAAGGGGTAAATATCAAAGAAAATTAGTGGTCATTATTTATAACTCATCGCTTCCTGACAAATTTACGTATGACGCTATGAAAACAACTAATTATGGTCAAACTGTCGTAACAGAGTACCAGAAAACATTCCTTGTAAAACGAACCAAGAGCCAGCAAGATTGGGATAATCTACTTGTCACTACACACTTCTTGTGCTTCACAGCGTCCCTTTGGAGAATCCAAACAGGTACACCAATAAATTTCCGTAAATACCCACTGAAAATCCCTCATTTGAGACCAAGTTGTAAACAAGACAAATGGGTAGTTTTTTAAATTAGCTGAGATCCCTTCATATTAAACTTTCATAGTTAACATATACACTGCAGAAGTTATGAAGACAGGGAATGATAAACTGGAAAATTATCAGATGAAAACAATCTTATTACAATGCAGAAAAACAAGTAGCGCGGAAAAAAATAACTAGTCCCGCATGAAGCTAAAAGACATGCATAAATGATTTCGTCAGAAGAAAGTTTAAATCATTATGAGAGTACTAAGAGTCCGTATATATTTACACTTAGACAGTAAACGATGACTAATTGGCTTTGGAGGTTTTGCGTGAAATAAAAAAACAGGAGTGGCGTAAAATAGGATTTCAACGTTGACACTCGAGCTTATCACAACCAAACACGAAAGCAGACATTAACCAAGAATTTCGAGAAAAAATTCGTGAAGAGTACACATCAATATTACAACAAGGACTAAAACTCTGGCTTTTGGTAGTGTAAACTGTTAATCTTATGATAAATCAAACATAGCATAGGGTTTATAAACATTTCTATAAATAAGTCAGTATTTGAAGAACTGAAAGAATGAGGAAAATAATCAACCGAAGCACTATGTTAAGTTACAACATGTCACAGACGTTGAATCTGAGGAGTCGACTAACCGGTGACCCTGGGTAACTGTTGATGCTTCATGTCCACGCGCGGATGTTTTACGAAGGATGGCAAGAGTTAACTCCTCGAATGCTTTGCTGACATTCTCTCCAGTCTTGGCACTGGTCTCAAGAAACTTTATCTGAAGAAGCTTATAAAAGAATAAATTTTATTACCCCGTGTTCCTCTGCCTTTTGCGAACCCTCTTCATACAACACCACACGACGATCACTTACATCACACTTGTTGGCAACCACCAACTTTTCAACGTCCTCTGATGCCAGAGACTGAATATTTCCCATCCACCGTTGTATATTATCAAATGTTTTGCGACTAGTAATATCATATATTAGCATGATTCCCATTGCCCCACGGTAATAAGATGCAGTGATCGTCTGAAAGCGTTCCTGACCCGCTGTGTCCCATATCTTTTAAATGTCGGTCTACCTAAAGTGCTACTCACCTGAAGCTTTATTCTCTTTCCCTCTAACTCGATAGTTTTAATCTTGAAATCGATCCCTATAGTTGAGATAAAGGTTGACGTGAAAGAGTCTTCAACATAACGAATGAGCAGACAGGTTTTCCCGACACCAGAATCCCCGATCAACAGTAATTTGAACAGTACATCATAGCACTTTTTCGCCATCTTCTGACATGTTTGAAAATAGTAAATGAAGTACTCACTTACTCCCGTACCTTTTGAAGAGCCGCCGTTAAGTGTTTTGTTCAGTTGGGTCAAATAAACTACTTACACATAAATATTTGTTTACAGCTATTGTTTTATAGATGCGAGCAGATACATTACGTGCCATTACGTTAATTAATACCGATCAGTATGGGTCTTTATGGGTGAAGTATTTTAACTACTTTCCCAGCAGGAGAATTTTTCAGATATGGGATATGTGGGCAAAAACATGGGTATTTTACCGTTAGAAACTGAAGAAACTGGGAAAAAGTGGGTTATTTTCGAGAATGATTTTGTTAATGTTGGAAAAAAGCAAGAATGACGGTAGTTTTTGCAGAATAACATGGTACCGTCATCAGCTGCTTACGGCTTGCAAATTTTTCATGATGTTAGTTGACAGGAGGTTCCACAATTAGTGAATAGCGTTCAAAAAATTACTCAGTTACTGTCCATTAGCCCCCGTTTTTGGAACCAGAGCCTTCCTTTTCACTATCCCCACTGCTACATGGGATAATATTCATATAGCTCAAGCAGACATAAAAATTGACATTATCAACCTAAGCAAAGTACACCAATAATGTTGTAATAATCGCATGCATCCATTATTTGTTTCTGTCAAATGAAATGTCATCAGATGAGTGATAGCTAAAACAATTTGACTTTAGGCGTAAAATACTAGCAGAAATTGCCACGCGTCTGCAATTTCCCTCTCCTACCTCAAGTAATCAATAAATAGTGCTGATTGTTTGAGTAGCTGTATGCGATTCATCACATTCATATCAATCGGTAATGCTTGCTAACCAGATAGAGGTGACCTAAACGCCGGACGGTCGTCTCATTGGTTTTTGGCCAAGCTCACTGGAAGTGAATTTAGTGTGAATCAGGCCGCACAGTCGAATAAGTTCAAACAAATTCGTCTTCTCGTTAGTTACTTAGGCGAATATGCAACATCATAAATCAAATTCAAAATTTCCGAATTAATTTGCAATTCACTTAGTTCGACTGAGTGACGTCTAGCCAAAAATTTTTTTCGAAGAGAAATTTTTCACATCACAATATGTGACATGTCTGGCGAACGAGAAAGCATGCATAATTTCATCAAATTATGTGCCATAAGATGATTGCGATGAGTTGCTGTATACTGCATAAATCATCAGCCAAAAAAAGCCGTCTGGTGTAAAAACAATAATAATGACTCAAGGCTCTATATAGTGACGGTAAATGAGGTTTCACAGCATGAATGTGTTGAAATGGCTCTATAACTGCTTTCCTGGAATGAAAGAGACTCCACGAAAATAGGCATGGTGTACACAACACAACATTTACCAATGTCCAACGGAGTGCGCGCAACAGAGGGAAAGTTAGGGGCATTCGAACATCTGCGAACATTGGGCTGCCATCGTCAATATCCACTAGACAATTAAGGAATGGCGAGTCATAGGCTGGTGTGTCTCAGAAGACGTCTTTCTAAAGACGATATCCTACTGAATAGGTATCAGGAAGTCATGGGAAGACATTGTAGAACTAGTCGGAATATATACTCATCCAGAAAGAGTAAAGTTGCACTACCTCATCATCCAGTTACGACTCCAAAAAAGCCTGAAAAGCCTCGAGTAGTCTTTGACTGTGCGGCTAAATCTAGTAGTATATCGTTGAATGATCAGTTATTACAGGGACGAAATACTGTCAGCAGTTTAGTTGGAGTACTTTTGTGCTTTCAAGTTGGTGTTGCAGTGCTGGCCGTCAACACAGGATAAATATTTTTGCAGGTGAAGACTCCGAAACAAGACAGAAGAGCATTTCGTCTATTATGGTGGAAGGATGGTAACTGACACAAAAGGTTTCTGAGTATTAATTAAGCATTCATCCGTTCGGCGCTGGGCTAATTATGGATTAACAAAGACTGTTAATACCTGCAGCGAAAGAACAGCTATAGTTCCCAGAATTGTCGGAGCGTTTTTCTACGTGCATGACTGCTTGGCATCAACTGATAATTTTGAACAGGCTATTTCCTCAGTTGAGCAGATAAGGTCTATCCTTGGGAAAGGGGGTTGTTAAATGACGAGAATGCTCAGCAACGCCAGGCAAGTATAAGAGTCTATGTGCCAGAAGAACTTGCACCGACATTGAGAGAAATAGACTGAGACTCATCCTATTAGACTTTCTTTTGGTTTGTTACCGAACACAAAGAAAGATTCCGTTGTTAGTGGAATCCACAAGCTTGACATGCCCATAGCTAGGCGCATCACTGTATGATCCTTTAGTCTTCTTGGCGCCTATAGTCCAACCTACTCAACAACTACTACACAAATTATATAAATTGGGCTTGAACTGGGATGACGGAATACCTAAGAACGAAAGTGACGGCTGATTCAAACTTCTGCATGGTTTTGAAGTGGTCACGAACGTGTCATTTCTGCGCTTTCTACAGTCTTTGGTTATAATCCAGCTACATATCTTTCGCGTTGCTTCCGAAATTGGCTGTGGAGCTATGGCTTGTGCCATGCACAGAAATGTCTGTTGTCTTCTTTTTATAGCCAAAGCTAGGGTAGCGCGTCTTGAGGTTCAAACGGTACCAAGGCTTGAACTGACAGCAGCAGTCTTGGTCACCAACATGGGGTTTTTGTTGCGATAGGAAATGGACGTCAGTATTTTAGTGATGACATATTGAACTGTACTACATTATCAGTACAAATAATAGACTTGAAACATTCGTAACCAATTGGGTCCCAACAATTTACGAACACTCGAAGGTTTTTCATTGGGGTTGCTAGTCATCAAAAGAGAGCTAAGCAAACTTCGTATCTCGTTAAATGCTTTTTGAGGATGAATATCTTCGACACGATTCGAAGGCTATATGCTCAAAATGCGTTTTAACGGAGTTGATGCATCTCTTAATTTGGGTTCAGTGAAAATAGATTGATTACAGCGTACTAGTTACAGATAGGAAATATATATTATATTAGTTTGGGCATCACAAGAATGGTTCGTGTAGTAGATTTTAAGAAGGAACTTAAGTTGTTAATGACGTCTGGTATTTCGGGAATGCTGACATTCAACTCACCTCGCACAAGCTTCATCCTATCCTAATGAATGGCTTAATTTGTGTGGGCGGTCAATACCCAGTGAACGGGAACAACTGGTACCACTGCCTTCCAAACATCACGTGGCGGAGTTGATTCTAATGCACTACCACAACATAGGAGGGTATATAGGTGCTTCATAGCTGCTAGCAACTGTCAGAGAAACGTTTTGAATATTATGAGGATGTGAAGAAATCAGGTAGGTTATTGGAAATTGTACGCTGTCCAGTAAGAAAAATGCTAAGCCATAGTGTCGGCTGACAACACTTATGCTGACGATTAGGGTTGAGATGGGCAGATGCCCTTTCTTCTCGGGAGGTGTCGACTGTTTCTTGCCAATAGGTGACACTATTGTTGTATTTTCTCATCTGAAATTACGAGATGTACGTCCGGAAGTCTTTCCCCAAGCTGCTTTATAATGGCGCCGGTGAGATTTACTGGTAGAAGAAAGGAAATATTTAGTGACAGCAGGACCATTTTGGCAGGAGCAGAGAGAGAATTATATAGGTGCTTAAGGAAATGGAGACAAGAAAGAGTACATATTACCTTAGCATTTCATCCCACCGGCTGCAAGCCATTGGGGTGTTGTTTGGGAACGCATGATTCGCATTGTACGTAGGGCTTTAGGCGGACTGGTTAGTTAACAACCATTGACTGATTAAAGCCTCTTGACTCTATTGAAAGAAACTGAATGTGCTATAAATAGCAGGCCCGTTGTTTCACTCACACACTGAGGACCTCCGAGTGTTGACACCTACTAGACTACTATTGCTGAGGGACAACTCGCTAAGCATTAGTGTTACGCAACTCAGCGATAAGTTCACCAAAAGGTAGAGACTAGCTAACTATTCAGCAGATGTGTTTTGGAAACGTTGACTCAATTGGTATGTCTTCTCGTTACAACAACGACGCATGTGGACGGATATAAGTAGGAATGTACAGGCCGCGTATTTGGTTATCATAGTATCAGACCTCAATGGAAGGAGTCAGTGGCAACTCGGGATTGTGCAATGGGTGCAGCCTGGTAAAGATGGCTTGACTAGACATATAAAGTTGAAGACAGCTAAGAGAGCGTTGGGAAGCGATATAGGGGAGGTGTATCTCTTGAGGGTCAGCGATAATAAGCCTCGCCAGAATGGAGTTCAGGGGAAATTGGAGTAAGTCCAGGAAACCAGGGGCGGTGTGTAATGGTTAGGCGTGTGCTGTCCAAGGAGTGCTTGTGTAGATATGGGGAGTGCACGTGATTTGTTAGTGAATTTCTTCTGCTTGTTTTGGGTTTAGTGTGTGGGTGTGTTGTGTAACCATTTACCTGGATGAATGAACGTTACTGTGAATATTATTTGATTGATTTGTTGGAAGAGAAAGTAACGTTCTTCTGGCGGGGAGCGTTACTTATAATATTTTATGTGTCATTTCGTATTATTTCGTTAATTAGACTGTCTCTGCTCCACTGAACTCTCGCACATTTCTGGCTTGAAGTGACATTCTTTTAATTTTGAACTAACTTTGGGTTCGACTATTGTACCCTGTGTTTGAACGTCGGATAGACTCATATTTGAAGGTTTGTACCATGTTCATCTGATAAATTTCGTTTAATAGAACAATAATCTGCAGCTCTTCAACATTCTGTTATTAATATAATACTATTTGTAAACATTTTGCTTTACTTCTCATTCAGTCAGTTGTATTTAGAACCGTTTCGTTTCGTTCTGGATTTTGTCAAGAAATTTGGTTTCATTTTGGTTTGGCCGAAGATTATAAGCCTGCATCCTCAAATGCTGCTCGCGTGGCGCCTGTAACTCCATATTTCGTGTATTTAACCATTATCAGAACAACTGAATTTCCAAGGATGTAATCCGTATATAAGTTACCTATAAT